CCAATTCAGAGCAATGAATCTATGTAATCATTAGCCATTGTTTTTTTATGAGGATTAAAAGAGGCTAAAAAGGAAAACGGCATTTGTGCTTTATTTCTACGTTCAGTAAAAACAGAACACCATTCAAGAAATACATGTATCCTTATGTACTCACTTGATAATCTTATTGCAAGTTAATGTGCTTAAATATTTGAGCTTAGTCTTTCTTAAATTGTAGTAACAGTACTCTAAGTATTATGAAGTACTACAAGAGGTACTTTTACTTTATTGTGACCTTTTGAAGTCTTTATTGAAAAAAATGACAGAACTGGTTGGTTAGTTGGCTGGTTGGTTAGTCGGTTGGTTAGTTGGTTAGCAGGAATAAGGTTAAAAAACATGGACAAAAAGTCACTGATATGCAATCATGTGAAAAGAAAGTTCACGCAGAAGTTGTTTGGCACTTTACTGCTGTTGAGCAGTCAGATGTGTGTTTACTCAATGTGAAGAAGGAAAAACATCTTTAGGCAGGAAATTATGGGACCCATCAGTCTGGGAAGAATTACTGTATGAGGCCATTTACAAATTATTTGAAGTTTATAAATCTACCGGGAGAAAGATTTTTCACAAATTAAAAATATTCAGGACAGCTGCCAATCTTCCCAAGGGTGGACAACCCCCAAAGATTTGCTCTTTTTTTATTTTAGCAAAAAAATATTCTTCAATTTTGAGGGATTCTTGGCTCTTCAATACATTGAAAGTGGTAAGATTAATCAAAAAAAATCTGATTACCACTAATTGGATTACAAACCCATCTAAGCTGATATTGTCCCTAGAATAGATCATGTTGAAACAAACCTGGATCCTGCTTTGTGTCATTTTCTGCAGACTCTGTAGACTCGATAGAAGTCACTGGTCACTGCAGTCATGGGCTGAGTATGTTCTACTACCAGCGTACTTCCAGTTCTCCTTAAAGTCAAAGCTGACGACCAGTCCAAGCCTGCAGGCTTCTTTCTCTGCATCAACACTTCACAGCTGCTCGCTTCTATCACTCTCCTTTCAGTTGGCCGCTGAGCAGCACTGTCGCAGCAGCTAGCGATGAAGTCTGTTTCTCATTGGCAGCTTTGCATCCGCTGGATTTGTCGGTTTCCAAAACTGTGGTTTCACTCTGGTGTGTTTGAAATGTTTACCTTGACGCACCAGTATGCCAGTTGGATTTGTCACGTTTTCCACCCACATCCACTCTGTCCACTGACTAACTCAACGCACTCAGTCAACTTTTCACAAGTTGTAAGTGTTGCATTAACCTCACCCCCCATCAAAAAAAACAAAAAACAAAAGACATACTACTAGTGTGGATAACAGCGTTGCCAAAAAAGAACAAAGCCTCAGCATTTTGCAGTGTTGCATAAGGACAAATAGATTATGTTTTCTGTTACTTTTTTTTTTTCTATCTCTTTAGAAAGCCGGGGGCAGGTTAAGTTCATCCTCCTCCTCCTCTGTGGTGATTCTCTTCCCTCTCCCATCAGGGCAGCTTCCACCTCCTTTCTCTCTCCCACTCACCCAGCGTCGTTCTCACATCTCGACACCTCACACAGTTTTATCAAGCATGTTTCTTTACCTTTTTTTTCTTGACCTTTTTTTAAGTGAGTGATGAAGAAGAATTACTATGACATCTATTTGCCAGCAGCCATATTCCAGCATTGCATTTTTAAAAAAAATGCAGAGTATTAGATAAAAATATCCACTTGTGCACGACTCATACATACAAACAGTGAAAACTAGAGCAGAGCTGTGGTCACCGTAGTAGGCTGATTCCGAGTAGGATGTTGTCAATCTTTTTTTTAAATGATTGTTTTCATTATAGTTTAACTCACTGGACCACTCGACTCTGATTTGCCACAGAGCTGGCTCTTTATCCTCTGCAGTTAAAAAAGGCCTAGTGAAAACATTTTTAAAAATATGTAAAAGACAAATAAATCAAACCAAATCAAAAGATTATTGTAAAGCAGCAGGTCCATACAAAGCGTTGCTCATAGTTGTTATTCTAGATCTCAGATTGGGCTGAACTCTTTGTGGATACTAGTGGATACATATTACAAACCTGGCACATCATTTCTTTATCATTTCAGATTTCGACATACTCAGACCAAATAATAAAGGAATAAATAAATCGACAAATAGGCAGATGTGCATGTCTTTCAATTGATAGTCTGCAAACATGGACACTGTCATGGCTTGCCATGTTTGCGGTTTTTCTTTGTTTTTTCTGTTTTTTGTTTACATTTACACATTTCCTGTCACACATGTCTAGAGACCAGTGGCAATCCTCAAAACTGTGTACACGCTGGAAGCAATTTGAAGCGACGGGGCAACAAGAGACAAGAGAAAGTGAGTGACATTTGATCATTTAAGTGACTGCAGGTGGAAAAAGTGCCAGTGAGGAGAAGTTGGAAGGACCCACGATAAACTCTTCGCAACTTCCAGGTGAATAACTGAAGCAACTACCAATGACAATGAAGAATACTGTTAATTGACATATGAAAGGCTGATGTCCTGCAGGTTTTAGATATCACCCTGAAACCACACATGAATCAAATGATTAGTTCATTACCAGGCTTCTGGAGAACTTCAAGAC